AAGGCATTAAATGTCTTTCCAAATTCTACTTGAATGAGCGTGTTAGTGAGCTGTACACATGTGACCAGCAGGAGCCTTTGCTCTATCTGTAGGATGAGTTGGTCTGTGTCGAGGAGGAACAAAGTAATCCTACCTCTGGACAGGGCTGAGACTCCTCCACGACTGTCTTGAGACTGAACAGCCCTAAAATATGCTACCTGTTTTCAGTTCATTAAGCACTCTTGTTTCCTGTTTTCCTTAACCACTGGATCAAAACAGCTGGGGCAAACTAAGCTCAGTGTGGTGCTTTGATGATAACGGCATTATTTTGCTTCAGATGACTATATTTTATGAAAAAACATTCCTAAAGTCTTTTCCTCCCCCCCCAGAGACACTTAATTTACCACACCCGTTGCTGCATCAACGCAGTTGAGGTAATGTTTCTTTTCTTGACTTGGTCTCAAGGCCATTGGTGGCCAATTCTGCTTCATACTTGGCAACACCACAGCTAGTCTAGGGGATGGGCCAGTTCTGTCTTCCAGGAAGGTGACTGGCCAGAAGCCTTAGGATGGCAGCCCAGGGAAAGGTGCTGCTAATGCAGAAAGGGCAGCAGGAGTGTCACCAGTTTAACTTTCTGCTTTGAAGCGAGCTGGTGACTGACATAAAAGCTATGTCCCAAGGAAATAAATACCCTGGCAGCAGTAGAGGAAGCCTTCAGCAAGAAGCACTAGCAAATGAAGGCAAGAGCTAGCAAGAAGGAGCACCCAGCCTTCAAGCATGATAATGAGAACAGTGTACGGTCTCTTCCAATCTTATTTCTCCTGGGATATTCTGGGTATGGTACAGCTATAGCAGGCAGCAAAACACGTTCTGTGCCACTGAAAAATGAAATAAGACAATTTTTTTCTGACTTCCTGTTGCTGTATGTGGGATACAGTCTCATTTTGGGAAATGAACTGAATGGACAGCTGTAGAAATTGAGGATAGGGTAGCACAAAATAACTGCTTCCATGACTGCCAGCATAGTAATCCAACCTGTCCTAACCTGCACTGATGTTTGCAATTACTTCCAGTGTTTCAGTTTTAACAACACCAAATTCATATAATCTAGCTTATAGTCTAGTCTATTACAGTGATTCTTTTGACTGTGCACCAGGCATGTAGAACTTGTTTTTTCCTCAGGAATCCAGCAGCTCCACTGTTCCACAGGTACGCTGTGAAACAATGAACACCCACTGCAGACTCATTTAAGAGCCTGATCTCATTTTTGCTTGTGCCTGCAAGACTTCAGGGTCCTAACGGTCCTCACCTCCCTGTGCTTTGTCTGCCTGCTACCCAACAGCAGTGCAAGAAGTTTGCTCAACCCAAGAGAGTAAAATCAATGGTCTCAAATCTGCTTTGAAGTTGCAGTTTGACCCAAGGTCAAGCAAGCAAGCAATTTGCTCTATGACTTTTTCATTAGCAGCTTCATCTGGAAAGACATGTTCCTGCTTCCATTTTGTGCTCGAGGTATTAGTAAGGCATACTCGGAGAAGCAAAGTTTGATGTAAGTCATTCTTTTCCAAAACCAGAGATAAGGAAATGCCAGGTTCTGTGTTTTCTTAGGGGATAAAATGAGCACTATTATAGTGCCCAAAGAATGGGGGTCTTCAGCCACTCTCATACCTGCTGGCACAACAACACAGCAGGACATAATCAATCCAGGAAGTTCCTGGTGTGCATCAGTGAGAACTTCTTCACCCAGGTGATAGAGGAGCCAATGAGGAGAGGTGTTCTGCTGGACCTCGTACTCACCAACAAGGGGCTTGTTGGGACTGTGAAGGTCCAAGGCAGCCTCGGCTCCAGTGACCATGAGAAGGTGGAGTTCAGGATCCTGAGAGGAAGGGGGAGGGTGAAAAAAACAAGCTTTCAGCCCTGGACTTCAGACTTCGGCTTCTTCAGAGGTCTGCTCAGAAGCATCCCATGGGATCAGGCCCTGGAGTGAAGGGGCACCCAAGAAAGCTGGTTAGTATTCAAGGATCACCTCCTCCAGGCTCAAGAGCAGTCCAGCCCAACTGAATAGGAAGTCCAGCAAAAATGCCAGGAGGTCTGTGTGAATGAACAAGGAACTCCTTGGACAACCTCAAACCCAGAAAGGGTTCAGAGGGTGTAAGCAAAGTAACCTGTGAGGAACACAGAGATGTTGTCTGAGCATCCAGGGATCCAGTTATAAAAGTTAAAGCTCAAGTGGAATTGAATCTGGTCAGGGATCTCAAAGCCAACAAGGGCTTCTGTAAGTACTTAGGTGGGAAAGGCTAGGGGACAAGTGGGCCCGTTGCTGAGTGAGAGAGGGGACGTCATTGCACAAGAGATGAAAGAGGCTGAGGTACTGGATGCCACCTTTGCCTCGGTCTTATGAGCAACACTGCCCTTCAGGAAGCCCAGGTCCCAGACACCAAGGGGAAGGTCTGGAGCGAGGAAGATATACTCTTGCTGGAAGAGGATCAGGTCAGGGAAGACTTAGGCAAACTGGAAATACCTAGGAAGTCCATGGGCTCTGATGGGATGCACCCACGAGAGCAGTGGCAGTTGGTAGATGTCACTGTGAGGCCATGCTCGACAATCTTTGATTGGTCATGGTGACTGGGGGAAGTGCCCAAAGGCTGGAGGAAAGCAAATGTCGCTTTGTCTTCAGGAAGGGCAAGAAGGAAGATCTAGGGAACTAAAGGCCTGTCAGCCTCACCTCAGTCTCTGTGGAGGTGTTGGAGCAGCTAAACCTGGAAACCATTTCCAGGCACATCGACAACAAGGAAAACATCGGTAGTGGTCAGCACGGTTTCACCAAGGGGAAGTCACGCTTGAACAACTTTATAAACTTCTACAATTAAATGACTGGCCTGGTAGATGAGGGGAGAGCCATGGATAATGTCTACCTGGACTTCAGTAAGGCCTTTGACACAGGGTCCTGTAAGATCCCCACAGAGAAGCTGTTGAAGTGTGGGCTGGATGAACAGACTGTGAGGTAGACTGAAAATTGGCTGAATGGCCAGACCAAGAGGGTGGTGACCAGTGGCACAAGGTCTAGTTGGAGGCCAGTGATTATCAGTGTATGCCAGGGGCCAGTACTGGCTCCAACACTGTTCAACATCCCCAGTAGTGATCTGGATGGTGGGGCAGAGCGTACCCTCAGCAAGCTGGCAGGAGACACAAAACTGGGAGGAGTGGCTGATACACCAAAGGGTTTTGCTGCCATTCAGAAGGACCTCAAAAAAGGCCAGAAAAATGGGCTGATGAGAACTTCCTGAAGTTCAACATGGGGAAGTGCAAAGTCCTGCACGTGGGGAGGAACAGCCACAGGCACCAGTGTATGCTGGGGGCCAGCCAGCTGGAAAACAGCTGGGCAAAGAAGGAACCTGGAGGTCCTGGTGGACCCCAGGTTGAACATGAGCCAGCAGTGTGACCTTTTTGGAAAGAAGGCTAATGGTATCCCAGTTGCCAGCAGGTTGATGGAGGTGATCCTTCCCCTCTACTCAGCACTGGCAAGGCCACACCTGGAGTAAGTACTGTCTCTGGTTTTGGGCTCCCCCATACGAGACACACTGGAGAGAGACCCACAGAGGTGATGAAGGGTCTGGAGCATCTCTGCTATGGGGCAAGGCTGAGAGAGCTGAGACTGTTCAGCC